TTTGAGACAGAGTCTCACTCTGTCACCCAGGCTGAAGTGCAGTGGTGCCATCTCAGCTCACTGCAACCTCCACCTCCCAGGTTCAAGCGATTCTCCTACCTCAGCCTCCTGAGTAGCTGGGATTATAGGCACACGCCACCACGCCAGTCTAATTTTTATATGTGTGTGTATATAAATATATAGATATATATTTTTTTAGATGGAGTTTCACTCTTGTTGCCCAAGCTAGAGTGCAATGGTGTGATCTTGGCTCACTGCAACCTCCACCTCCCAGGTTCAAATGATTCTCCTGCCTCAGCCTCCTAAGTAGCTGGGATTACAGGAGCATGCCACTATGCCTGGCTAATTTTTTGTATTTTTAGTAGAAATGGGGTTTCACCATGTTAGCCAGGTTGCTCTTGAATTCGTGACCTCAGGTGATCTGCCCGCCTCAGCCTCCCAGAGTGCTGGAATTACAGGTGTGGGCCACTGCACCCGGTCTAATTTTTGTATTTTTAGTAGAAATGGGGTTTCAGCAGGTTGGCCAGGCTGGTCTCGAACTCCTGACCTCATGATCTGCCTGCCTCGCCTTCCCAAAGTGCTGGGATTACAGGCGTGAGACACAGTGCCTGGCCCCTTAAAATGTATTTCTTACGGCTTGGTTGTGGTCAAAACGTTTGAAAGCTATAGTACCAGCTCTAGGCATTCACTAAGAGTCATATGTTAAACTAATAACATTGGTTGTGCAGGGGGCAGGGGAGAGTAGCAGCTGAGCTACAGCGAAGGCCCTTCCTAGAAGGGCCTTCTAGGAAGAAAGTAAGAAAAGAAAAAAGTAAGTTCAACAAATTTTTACTAGGTATTCATTCTACGCCGGGAACCAAGCACTGCACTCTCTGCCTCTCTGACACCATCTCCTAGCCCCTCCTCCATCCATTTTCATGCAACTCCAGCCATACCAACCAACTCTGTTGATCCTTGAGCAGGCACAATTCTGCCTCAAGGCCTTCATACTTGCTGTTCTGTCCAAAATATTCTTCCCCCAGATAGCCACATGGCTTACCACGACCTTTCTTCAGATCTTTGATCAAATGTCACCTTTTCAGTGAGACTGTCTCTGACACATATGCCCAA